AGACCGGTAGGAAATACTGACATTACTTTCTGAAAGACGTAGCGATCACAAGTTGTGACAGTTACAATAAATGACTGGAGTATGGTTCTACGAATCCTGCACCACGATGGGCTGTAAAGGGTACCTTTGAATTCTTTATTCTCACGATGGCTCCATCGCCAAAAAGAGATAGGACCTTGAAGCCAAGATTGAAGGCCTAAGCATGTATGAAGTATAGCCCTCAAATTCCACCTTGGGAGTGCAATGCAAATTCTAAGAACAGACTTTTGACCAGAGCTTGTACACCACGTGAAATATCGACAACGTGCGGAGCAGCTTCCACACTTTACTACAACAAGGGAAGTATTATGATACAGAACGGTACGGTACATGTACATGTATCTAGATTTTCAGTCTGGTGGAAAACCATTTCCACATGTACTAGACAAATTTCAATCAAGTCAATTGAGTGCAGAGTGGAATTGTGCTTTCCGGGGAAATTGGAGAATGCAATTCATTCAATATTCTCAATCAACGTTCCCCATCTCCACCGGAATGGGAAGTGTGCGCCCTGTTAGGGGATCTGTACCGAAGCATTCACTACAAGGTTCTTTTGCATCAGCAAGCACACCTATTGTCAGTATCTGGGTTGACTGAGATAATAATTATTCTAACGCTTGAATGTGCTGTGAATGCACCAAGGACTTACAGAAGGTTAATCTCTTTAGCTGCTTTCCAATGCTTCACCGCCAGACCGGCGACCACAGCGAGGGCGATGACACAGATTACTGCAAGAGTGATGATCCCTGAATTGCTGCAGCCACATGCACGGTCCACATCTGTAAAACCAAGTACACACCGCGATATCAGCATAACGTTCTCTGCATTACGTTCACACATGTTGGGCGTACTGGAAAGATCAGATGCTTACGTACCAGCCATGTAGAGTCTACAAGCTAAAAGCAAAACAAGCAACCTCGTGGCTAGTGAAACTGAGCGTATGCAATGCCCGTGGACATGGTGTACGCACATCAACCTGTCCTTCCGAAAAGATTCTGACCTACATGACACAATGCTGCAAGTGCATACCTATAGATCTACGTGACACAGTATCAGTCATGTGCATCATGGTACATGTACTTCAAGTTGCTTGGTAGAGTCTACATGACTGAAACCAAGAATTATGTACATGTGCGGTAATTTTCAACATATATGTACATGTACACACTAGTCTGTGGTTAAGAATAATGATGCACGACTTTTCCGATGTGACGCGCAATTTGGCGTAAAACTCAAAATTTGGACGTGAGCTAGCTGCAGGTCACTAGCGTGGTTTTTTGACGTGCGTGCCAAATAACGCGAGCTGAACTTTCGCGTCACGTCAGAGATAACGTGCATCTTAACCTCTCTAGTTATTTGAGCCAGCACAAGCGAAAAGGGACCTTATCCGTTTTTTGGGCATTTTGAGTTAGCAACGAATTCTTGTAGCCAGAGAACGTATGAATCAGATAAAAAAAACCCAATGAAAATCCATCAACATATAGCAAAGTTACGGACGTTTAAATCAACACTGTTTTCACCAAAACATCGCACATATTCACGAATAATCTTTGAAATGCGTAAATTGCAATAATTTGGCCATGGAAGCCTTACAGAAGCCTTCAAGTCACCAGCAGAAGGGCTGGAGGATACAGTATACACACACTACTGGGCAGGTGGCATAAGTTTCACTGTGATGGAATTTATAGTGCCAAGCGTGACGTCTGATGGGCCATCACGTCCTTCCGTACCACGCAGGCACGCCGCATTTTAGATCTAACAAGAAGAATAATAGAATGTTCTGAGGCATGTAGTTTGACACAGCACCAGACTCTAGCAATTATCAGGCTCAAAACGTGTGTTGCAGTACACAAGTTTGTCATTCCTCCGGCACAGGCGGACACAGCTCATCCTTGTAAGGGTCTGCCACAAACGGCCGGATATCCTTGAACAGGTACTTCTGGCGTTCTTGTGACAGACCTGCTGGGGGCAACACTTGGGGAAGGCCTGCTGCTCTCACCTGCTCAGGTGTGGTCTTCAACAGCTGAACATGGTCAGTCAGCTGATGCATGCAGTCGTCTTCTGCTCCTCACTCCCAGCCGCCATCACGTTGCGCCGCAAGTCCTCACACACCGGGCAAACATCCATGCGAGCCGTCATGAACTTAATATGCGGCAATGTCTGGTGCCAGATGGAGCGGAACGTCGACAAGGATACAGACTTCTTACCCTCCTTGTGGCAGCAGTCGCAGAAGTCTGCATGCACGGACTTGTACGTTTGTGTCGCTGGAAGGAAGATAGGTGGCGTGTCGTCTCTGCCACGGAGTGGCGCAGGATGTGGAATTCCAAACACTTCCGCGTGCCGAGTGATGTACTCCGCGCAGTACTTCACAACAGCAAACTCCAGGACATTGTGTGGCCGTTTGCCTGTGTTGCCGTGCACTAGTGGCACAAGCCCATTCTTCTCCAGGTGGCTTCTGTACCGTTTCAGCCTCTTGCTAGACAGTGCGTACACGTGACGGAACGCACCCACACAAACAGTCAGTCCTTGGAATTTGTAGGTAAAACGCTCCCTCTTGCGCTTCTCTCCACTCTCAAAAACTGTTTCAGGATTACTCAAAGCTTCAAGAAGGCCCAGGACCACCAGCTCACTCTCGTGCGACTCCATTTCTTTCATGTTCAGGATCGACGTCTCGATGTCAGCTGGGTCAAATTGCTGCAAGCAATTTTTTGAACATCCGCAGTTCTCTTTTTGACGAACAGTGTCGTCCTCCTCTGCCGGCGCAACGGTCGCTTCACAAGCTGCTGCGGAGCTAGCCTGCGGAGGTTTGGGCTCTGCCTTTCCGACAAACAGCTCTGCTGCTGCGTCGACATCCACTCGCTGCTCAAGAAAGTGTCGCCGTCGTCAGGTTGAACCGAACGTCACTGGCGTCCGACTCGTCTTCCTCACCAAAAACTTCAGCCTCATCTCTTCCAGGAGAGATTTCAGCGCTTCGTTCACGGTGAAACATTTACGATGGCTCATAGTGAACAGCTACGCCGACCCAAGGACTTAGCAGAAAGCGAAGACGGCAAGACAACTGCGCTGAAACTGTGAAAGCAACTCTTTGTCTTTCCGCTCGCGCGTGCGATTTTATTCAGCGGATCGGAGGTGTCGCGTCGACGTGTCACCTGGTCACGGTCGATCGATTTTGATCGCCGATCGGTGGTACGTGGGTCGATTTAGCCAGGGTTTTCTTCTACAGGAGCTGTAGGATACTGGCTCTCCAATACAAAGAATGACTGAGCTCCAAAGAAGTCGCGTATCGCCAAAAAACGAACAGTTTCAAGTTCGATCCGAACGTGACAGCTGAGAATCAGCTGATTCACTTCAAGTGCGGTTTTCTCAAAATCACGTGCAGCAGGATAAGGTCCCTTTTCGCTTGCGCCGGCTCATTTTATTGTATGATGGGATTTACGGCGGCGGGAACGGCGCCCTAGATTTAGAACTGTGCTACGTAGAAAAGCAAACGCCCAACAAGTCCAGACCTACATGCACACTAGAGCGGTACAGGCTACCCCTAAACTACATCATACCGTACTGGCAATTTATGTTGCCGCAGTGAGGCCATGAAGCGTTACATTGGCACATGTTTGCCGCACGCAGGGCGTTACATGCAAAGTCGCACAGGAGCCGTTACACAGGTTTCTATATTGCCGCAGTCCTTTTTTGCTATTGCAGGACTTCCTGCTGCGTCCAGTTTTTGAACTTTTCACCACGCGGTACATGCACGTGCTTTCACAGTTTTCAGCCTTTTTTGCAATGAAAAGGTCGCCGCACCCCGCCGGACGCGCGTTACGAACGCAACGAAAATTTGTTGCACTAGCCTGGTCGCGCGTTACGCCGCACCACCCTGCGTTACGCGTTACGCGGCAACATATATTGCCAGTACGGTAATACATGACATGTAGAGTGTACACAGTACAGTCCTGTATGATGTGCTTTGATTCTCCTCTCTTTATTTTGACGGGCCTACTGAAGGCGCTGCATCTGCCGCTAGGGTTTATCGGGTGTTAGCGGCCGTCGTGAGTTCCCTTCGGGAACGGATACGATAATTTACTTTTACTTTACTGAAGATGGCATCAACACATTAGTTCTCCTTTCTTCATTTCACGTAAAAAATAATAATTTGCATCGGGTCTAACTGGTCTGCCAGTCACCATAGTCACTCAGCGCTCCCCTGAGCTGGAGGACACAGTTAGCTCGAAGCAGCTAGCTGTAATGTCTGGAGCAACATTGCATTTCTCTGGAGATCGAGTGCACATATTAATGTACTTGAATGTACAGTAATACAGTCATTTGTACAAGCCGTGGCCGTCCGCCATTGCGGTGGATAGATACGATTCGGCACGACCTGAAAGCAGCGGATCTCTCCGTGGAGAGCGCTCTCCAAGCTGCAGGAGATAGACTAACTTGGCTTGACACTGTTGACAGATGCGTCGACTCTGCTCCTGTCTAACAGATTCAGGGAAGATGCGAGCTGTGTTTATTATTATGTACATGTACATTATTTATATACATAATACCCACGGCAATTATCCCGCATAATCCAAGACCTCTGCTCCCTAAAAGACCAGCGGCAGGTCTCCTGCATCTGTTTCTTCGACCTCTCCAAGGCCTTCGACACCGTGTGGCACAAGGGCCTGATCGCCAAACTTCGTGCCCATGGTGTCTCCGGCTCCCTACTCGCCTGGATAACTAGCTACCTCTTGGACCGAAATCAGTGCGTCACAGTAAATGGAACCTTATCTGACCCCGAGTCTGTGACATCCGGAGTGCCCCAGGGCTCCATTTTAGGTCCCCTGCTCTTCCTCACATACGTTAATGACCTCCCCTATTCAATTCCCAATATTTCTTTTTTTGCAGATGATACCACTGTCCTTGCTTCCTCCCCATCTCACGCCACCCTGTACCCCAAAGTTCATACCTGTATCAACGACATTGTTCACTGGATGAGCACTTGGTACCTTAAGCCAAATGTGACCAAAACCGAGCTCCTCCTGTTTCCCCCTCCCACAGATCCAGTGCCCATCTTCCACTTTCCCGATGATCCCGGTCACCCTATCTCTGTAGCGCCCCACCATAAACACCTTGGCATTGTCATAGATTCCGCCCTCTCCTGGTCTCACCATGCTGATCATGTGTCGTCCAAAGTATGCCGATCTGTCGGCATAATGTCAAGTCACTTGTCCCATTTGCCCAAAAATTGCTGGATTAATTTTTATAAATCATACATTCTTCCCCTGTTCACATACGGCTTCCCTGCCTGGTCCACCATTAACAAAACCCACATAGGTAAATTAGAAGTTCTCCATCGCCGTATACTGCGAATCATATTCCGTACTGATCGTTATACCTCAAATCTAGACTTGTATGCTGCTGCATCCACTACCACTCTGCAACATTACCTTGATGCTTCCAAGTGCACCCTGGCGCATTCAATTTTCCTTGACCAGCACCCTGCTCATTTACAGTCCCTTAATTGGTTCAATTCAGGTGGCACCACCCGAAGCTGCGTTCGTCTCCCCCTAGCTAGGTCTACCCTATTCGTAAATTCCCCTGTCTTTTCCTCCTACTCCACGTGGCTCCAACTGCCTCCCAGTGTTAGACAAGCTCCAGATATGCCCAAATTCCGTACCCTCGTCAGACAGCACTTCAGTATCTCCCAGTAAACAAAGTCACAGTCACCACTTCCGCTGCATAGCTCGCTGAGCATCCCATTGCTTTGTAAGTTGCTAATCCCTTCCCACTTTGTGTACGTGCTCTTAATTTTCTTTTTTTCTCTTCTTCCGTGGTTGGTCTCACCCTCTCCTCAATTCAATTGGCTGTCTTGACATGCCACGAGGTGCAGAAATAAATAAATAAATACTTGACGTACAATGCACATACATGGCTGTACTGAACATGTACTGTACATAAGACATGTCATAATCATCGGGTACTCTTACCGTTGATAATATAGAAGGCAACGTAAGATGAAGGCATACCACACTGATAAACTCCGGATGACAGACGATGATCAAAAACGAGCTGGTACACTGTCTCGATGCTGCTGGGGCTGGCTGTGGGCTGTAGCTTGCTAAAGGGAGATGATGAAGCATTGCAGAGATCTTCTTGCTGTATGCCACGTCGCCAAGGACAGGTCAACTCTTTCGTCGACGAGTTAAGGGAGACCTGACAGAGAAGCGCATCGGCGGGCTTCACATTAAACAGTACTTCGCTCTGTGAAACAATCCTTCCTTGATAGGTCGGAATCGCCAGTGCTGGATTTCAATAAACCACACATGTACACCACACGGCGAATCCGGGAAAGTAATGAGTAAAAGCGACCTTTTCCCACTACCATCATCGATTGTAATACTTACAAGGGACGCCAACTATACTGTTGGCATACCAAAGAAAAGAAACCGCCACAGATAGCAGAAGCCGATGCTGAAAGACGTAAGTCAAAGAGAAAATAGACAGCACAGAGGTCATGGAGTTGGAAGCTACTGTGCATCTAACGTGAACATCAACGCTGACAAGGAGCAGCTAGAATTGAGATAGATGGAAACGTGACGTACCCTGCGCAAGGAGCTATACTTCAGTTCCATATCTTCTTTCTAGAAAGAACGTCTATGATTTTACTATCGTCGTCACGATCAGTGCAACTATTAGTGAATCACGTCTCCTCAAGTTTCCTAACAACTAACCTCGAATCTTGAAAGTCTACTAGCTTATATTATGTTTTACTTCCACATAGAGGTACGTTGTACGAAGTGCAGTGGATACTGTTGATTCGCAATCGCCTCTCTCCTTGATAGATCGGCTCGGCTGCGCCCGATGTCACAGTCTATTGGAAAAGAATATTCTGCTGTACACTGTCATCACAATGGGTGCATCCTCCGCGATCAGGTACCTGCTGTATTATACACATTGTATTCGTTGCTCGCATGCCGTGTACATGTACATGTACATAGTGATACGGGTCGAATGTTTTTGCAGTCCGGATTTCTTCTTGACAGGCGCGGTTCACTTACAGGCACGCGTACATGTACATGGTTTACCGGGTGTTAGCGGCCGTCGTGATTTCCCTTTGGGAACGGACAGGATAATTTACTCCTTTTTTTACTTCTACATGTACTTCGAAGTAAATGTACATTCTGGATGTGAGCTATAATGTACATGCAGAGGCTTGGAAAAATGTACATGCAGATACTGTACGGCCTAGATGTAGGATAGATTATTGTAAATGTACAATGTACGTGAAATCTTCATGCATGGGCTGGGATAACGCATTTATCTGCTGATGTGTGTTTGTGTTTTATGGTTAACTCTTAGAACTTTAGCGGGAGGTCCAGAGATGAAATCTCTTTATCGATAATTCCAATGTGACCCGCGCGTCAAAACAGGATTTGGAACTTACAACTGTCCATCTTACAAATGCCCAATGTACTTATACAGGGTTTGCCGGGTGTTAGCAGCCGTCGTGAGTTCCCTTTGGGAAAGGACACGATAATTAACTTATTGCTTTTACATGTATTTTCAGAACACGGAGGCTTCACTGAAGCCAATTCTTATTATTATTATTAGACACAATCTCATAGCATGTGACAAGCATAGCTAATGCAGGGACAGAATCCCCTGAGACAAGGGCGTTGAGCCAGCCACGGCAATAGTAAGCTAGGAAAACAAAGCAAATATGAATTAGAGCAGAAAATGAATGGAAAATTACAAAGAAAAACGATTAACGGAAGTGAGCACTATCAAAATTCGTGCATCACCCAGGTATTCGAGAATGTTCTTCGATGATAATTATTGCGTCTAGTTCAGTTGTGATAGTAGATCTTTAAACTGACCAATAGAAGAACAAGTTTTCAGACCGTATGGTAATGATAACCAATGAGAGTAGCCGGAAAACAAAGGGGACTTTAGATACTGGGCTGACTTAACAAGAGGCAGGATGAGCGCGTTACGGGTTGAGCTTGTCGAAAACCAATTGTACTTCATCATGTGTGAAGGGGTTTTATGAAGAAATATTTTATGAACCAGTGTACAGAGATGGTGCTTATGACGAACGGAGAGAGGAGAAGTGTGTGCAAGTCGATAAAGGGCATCCGAAGGAAAACATCGATCCTTGTTGTAAAGAATTTTAAGTATAAATCTATGGTGGACTTCTAATTGGTTCAGAGTTGTGTCAGAAAGGCCACACCAAGCGGTATCGCAATAGTCGAATATAGGGAGAATATAGCACTGATAAAATAATAGTTTACACTGGATGGGCAAATGAGTGCAATGTGGTTGTAGTACCCCTAATGCTGAACTGGTTCGCTTGCATACACAGTTGACATGTGCAGCCCAAGAGAGTTTGCAGTCAAACATCACACCTAGATGTTTGTGCTGAGTAACAACACGGATAGGCATAGTCGAGTCAGGGAAGTATAATGGTTGATCAGGAGGGGATGAAGAAATATACATGGCTTCTGTCTTGTCTAAATTGGGCTGGAGTTTCCACGTTTGCATCCACATGACAGTGCTGTTGATGCGATGCTGCATGGTAAGGAGTAATTGTGCAGGGGAGGAATCAGAACAGATAAGGCCAGTGTCATCCGCATACAAACTAACATCGGGGACAACTGAAGGTAGGTCATTAACGTAAAGCAAGAATAACAAAGGACCCAGAATGGAACCTTGGGGCACTCCAGACGTAACAGGGAGGGGATCAGACAAGAAATAAGACAAGCGAACAGCCTGAGAACGAGCAGACAGATACGAGGATATCCAACGCAAGGCAGCATCCTCCACCCGGAAGGTGACCTCCAACTTGGCAAGTAAGCCACGATGCCAAACGGTGTCGAATGCCTTAGCCAAGTCGAAAAACACCATTCCCACATGCTCCCCACAGTTCCTCTTTGTCGCTATGTCTTGGACAAGTCGAGTCACCTGGTATTGAGTTGAGTCACCACGGCAGAATCCCGACTGAGCTGGTGAGAGAGCCGGAGCGATGTGCAGGTAGAGGGAATCGAATACAATACGCTCACAAAGTTTGGAAACTGTGCGCAGCAGAGAGATGGGGCGGTAGTTTACCGGGCAAGCACGGGAGCCTTTATTCTTGTAAAGCGGTGTCACGATGGCGGATTTCCAATCCTGTGGGAATGTACCAGTTCGAAATGACATATTAAAAATAATGGCGAGAGGATAGGCTATTGATGGTGCAAGAGACTGCAGCACTTCATTCGAGATCCCATCTGAGCCGGGAGACTTTCCACATTTCAGGCGCTTCAGATATTTCCGAACTTGAAACGTAGTGACAGTGATTGTACGGAACGGAACAGATATGAAAGGCGACTGGGACAAAGGGGGAATGCGCCACGAAGGATCATCAGGTAGCCCAAATGAGGTGAATTGAGTGTTCAGAACATCAGCTATGCTCTTGGGGGACGTGGCGACCGTACCGTCGGATGCTATCATCGTTTGGGGCATGACACGGCCGGAAGTGTGCCGCTGTGCTCGCACAAACTGAAAGAGTGTAGGTCGATTCGGTGACGTTAGTGATGCTTGGATGGAGCGTATATATTGACGATGTGCTTGCCGAGACAGGTGCTTTACAGCATTCCTTTGTCGGTTATAAGCTGCATGATTTACTGCTGTCGGATATTTTTTGTACACACTGTATAGATCACGCTTGCGTTTTACAGCAGACCTGAGCTCAGCAGTAACCCATGGTGGAGATTGCATGCGGGGTCGTGGAGATGTCACAGTGTGGGTGGCTCCGAATGAGGTGAGGTGACGACGGAAGGCGGACTGGAGCTCACAATCAAAGTGATGAAGTCCGTCATTAACATCAGTGTACGAGTTCAGAGAGGACCAGTTGTAGCCAGCTAAATCAGCGTTGATTAATTGCCAAAGGTGCGAAGGTACTTGTTTGAAGCGATACAGTGAAGAGGGAGGACCAGTGGAAGAGTTGGGGAAGTAGTTCGAAATAGGGGCGTAACATAAAGTGCAAACAATCTGTATATGGTCAGACATACCCAAGGGAGGTGCTTGATCAATTGAGCGCACGAGGCGTGGTCGGTTGGTGATCACCAAGTCCAGACACGAAACAGAGCCATTAGGCGAGGAATGAGTGGGGAAGTCAACCATCTGGTGGAGCCCAAGAGCAGAAAATACTGTGCTAAGGAGATCACCAGCCTTCGAGGTAGAATCGGTGGGACACCAGCTTGAGTTGTGGGCGTTGAAATCGCCAGTCACTAACAGATCATAAGAATCTAAGCAGACTGACTGTAATGCCTCAACAAACATGTCACAAAAGTACGACAATTGCATTGTGCTCTGTGAGGGTGGTCGATACATGCAGCATAGTAAGATGGGATTCTGAGGTTGAGTAGAGGGGGAGCCAAGTTCAAGCCACACAGACTCGCAGCCAGGGCGTTGAAGGTCGGCACGAGGGGAGACGTACGGAAAGGAGTCCGAACGGACAAGTACGGCAACACCCCCATACCCACGGCTACAATGCGCTGACCGATTGTCTTCCGGAGGTCGATCTCTGCGGATGCAGATATAGCCTGACAGTGAGAGCGGGTTCGAGGGACAGAGCCACGTCTCTGTTAGGCAGATTATGTCAGGCTTAGCACATTCGGCCATAACGCAGAGCTCAGACAACTTGTTGACAACAGAGCGACAATTCAGAGATACTAGGGTTAAATCACGCTGGGATTTAGGGAAAAAAGGGAACGCTGATGAATTTAGCGCTGGACATGCAATGTGTGCGGGTCGGCCAGAGGAGGGCTGAGCGGGGTAGAGCCGGTGGGCTAGTTTCGATCGTGGGGTGAATACAGGGGCGTTGGGATTTAGTCGTTGTTGCTGCATCGTTGTGTATGTTGGTTTGTTAGCATGACAGTTCAGGATTGATCATCACTGCCTCGCCGCGAAGTAGAAGACGACTTGTTACCTTGGGCATCAGCAAAGCGCCACTTTCGCACTGTGTGCTGGATGGTGGCCGGCCAGAATTTGGAGTCGAGAACTTTGTCCTCGTCCGATGCTGCCACGGTTACGCGAGCATGGCAAGTACCCAGGTACGTGTTTTCTGAAATCGAACAGTTCAGTACGTCAACTTGGCGGGCCTTGCACCACGCTGTTATTGACTCTGCCCTGCAACCCGGACTGACATTTCCAACGTACAGAACAAGCTTCTTTGTACGTTCAGGCCCTGTTAGCACACGCGGGTCGGCTGCCCGGGGCTGAGGTTTCACGTAGCGTGACGTAACCCTACGGCGTGTGACTTCCGACCACTCTGCACCTGCAGCACTCGCAGTCGATGCGCCAAGTTTGAAAAAGCTGCAGAAAGGGTCCTCATTTTATTTGCAACCGCGGGAAATTTGAAGGGCATTTTGGTGGTGTTCTCAATTTTGCTGAAGGATTTAGACAACTGGTTGTGGAGACATTGTGGACAAACACTGAGATATCGATTGCTTTTGCGCAGTTCCAGTGCTTCGAGGGTGAGTGGAGAGCTAATCAAGCGGATTTTTGAATAGGTCTCCAAACATCTGATCACTTTTCTTCGACATTTTTGTTCCGTTTTTTCAAATTCGAAATTCGTAGGTACGTCGCAGATTATTTCGGGCCGCTGCTTGTTGCAAGAGCGGAGAGAGAAAGCGTCCACACATATAGAGTCCCAAAGGAGGTACTCACAGCGTC